AGAGAGAGAGAGAGAGAGAGAGAGAGAGGAGTGGTTAGAAAGCTACACTTTACACGCCTATCTAGCGTTAGTCATATGCTAACAGCGAGGTAAAGGCGTTAGTTACACGCAATTCTTTGTTTACGCACGGGTCTGTGAAGTGGATGCTGTTGTCAGATTAACCGGAAGAGTCTGCTCACACTTCCGGGGTCACGTGTTGCTAGGAGACCAATGCAAGCTCGCAACAGGTGCAGGTGGAGCAGACTTGTACTGCTGTGAGCATGCATGGGAAACTCATGCATGTCCCATACAATTTCATTCATTACTCAAAACAGCACATTCACTTCACAGGCAATGGTGGATTCGTAGTTAGCTACGCTAGAATAACACCATTAATTTTACGTAAATGTTTCACATGAGCGAGTCATAATGAAATACAATGATACGTAACACATAATAAGGCCTTAAATTAATGAAATGAGGAGTATCGCTCAGATCACCTACACAGTGCTGAAAAAGGGGATTTCTTCGCCCAAGATCAGACTGATGTATTCTGGTACCATTTATATGGGCTGCTAATCTGAGGTTTACCCATCAGAAAAGCCATACCCTCTACTAACAACAGAAATTAGGATTTCTGACGCTACAGAGTCATGGGTGTGTTTTGACTTAATGTGCAATAAAACTAATCTGAGTCTCATCTTCCATTCCCTTTAAAAGCCAGTTGCGCTTGCGCCATGGCAGATTCGCTATTTACATGCTCGAGTGTTAGCGCGATAATCTTTTACATTGTAAACCTTTAATTTGTAATATTTAGCATGTTTGTGTGCTGCTGTGCGTCCCTGTGTGTGTAATAAGCAGAGTGTACACGCGTTGTGCACTTGCCTATAGGCGCATATTACTAACACGCCCTTCAAATAAATAAGAAAATACTGCACCATTGACTTTAGATCAGGTTTTAGTTGGTCAATGGCACAATCGTTTTCAGTTGCCTCAAAATAGCAACCAACAATGTGCCTGAACACGCCTTCTTTTCAGACTAGCATGCCAGTGGGCGAACAGATGGGCACAAGTGCAGTTGCTATTTAAACAACGTGGTGCTGGACATGAAATTGATAACTATGTTTGGCTGAAACTAGCAAAAAACACTTGCGTCGCGCCTGGCATCGCATTGCACTGGGTGTATGAAAGGTCCCTCTGTGTTTGCTAAAAGTTAAAAAAGGGTGTCTAACATCTTTGTGTTTAGTGTAAGAAATGGCACCCACTAAAAATTACAAGCAATGTGCTTTGCTGTGGTCTCATTTCTTTACAAGGGATGATTATCATGATTTGTGTGTCATCTGCTTGGGAGTGGAGCACACTAGTATCATTGTGAAAGTGGTCCCTTTTTGCAAGCAATGGGAGTTTGAGACAGGCTCTGCCCTTTCTTTTGCCTTGTTGCCAGACTCTGAGGACCTCTTTCTAGATTCAGAAGCTTGCTTAGTGATTTCTTCTGATCCAGCTGATGACCTATTGTGGGCTGCCTCTGGCTTTAAGAAGCTGGGTGGCAGCCCCTGATAAATGCTGCAGTCTTGTGCCTTTGAAGAGTGGCTTGAGGTGGTTACTATGGTGGTAGACAAATGTAATGGCCAGTTGCAAAAAAAAGAAGTGAGGAAAAAGTTAGATTTCCAGGACACAGACTTAGTCCTTTGTGTCACTACGCAAATAGCCTGCTTGATCAGCCAGATGAGAAAAAAACTTATCATTGACAGAGTTCAGATGGCCAAGAAACAATCAGCTGCATTCAAACAATTCCCTCCCTCCCTCACTGCAGCCAAGAGCTGTAGGCCCAGGAGCTGGAAGCTTCCACGAGCCAGCCCCGGTCAAGCCCTGCCTCCTCTTGGGGTGGAGGAAAGAGCAATAGGCTAGTGTGGCTGCCTGAGCTCAGGTTCGCTTTTGGAGGGCAAAGCTTACCAGCAACCAGTTCTTCCGTTTGGGCTTGCCCCACCAACCCTCATGTTCACAAAATTCATAGATGCTGCCCTGGATCCTTTGCAACTCCATGGCGTTTATGTACTCAATTACATCAACAGCTGGCTCATATTGGCAAGGTTGAGGGCATTAGTGTTTTGACATTGAGATGTCATCCTCACTTTCTTGAGACATCTGGGGTTGAGACTGACCATCAAACAGAATATCCTCTCTCCCAGCCAGAGGATGACTTTATGGGGGTAGTATGGGGCTCGTATTCCATGCATGCATGATTGTCCCCTTCTCAAATCAAGTCCTCCCTAATGTTGAAGAACTTCAGGCTGCATTGAGAAATTTTGTCCACCAATACCAGAGGTTACTGGATCTTATGGCAGCCACCACCAACAAGATACTTTTAGTGATACCATTAGATTATTTCAGTTGTGGCTCAAAAGCATGGGGTTCCACCCATTGTGCAACCCCCTGAGGAGGATAGGGTTAATGTGCAGAGGGCTTTGTTCCCTTTGTATTTGGAAGAATTATGGTTTCTCACCTTGACTCCCACACTGGGGGCAAGCTGTTCCTGCAAGATGGTGACTACAGATGCCTCCCTTATGCTTTAGGGGCAATCCTGGATGGTTGCCTAGCCCAGGGGGCCTGGGAAGGCTGACATCTCCTTTGGCATATACATTGCCTGGGGAGGAAGACTGTATTTCAGGCTCTCAGGTACTTCCTCCTGGACCTGAGGGGCTACCATGCATTGGTGCAGACAGAAAACATGATGGTAGTCTCATATATAAATTATCAGGGCGGTCTGCGTTCACACCCTGTATTCAGGTTGGTGAATCAGATCCTCGTTTGGGCTTAAGGCAGACTGCTCTCCCTGAGGGGAGTCTATATTTCAGGGAAATCAGATCTAGGGGCAGACATCCTTTCAATGCAGGGGCTGAGGCCCAGGAAATGGAAATTCCACCCTGAGGTGCTCTTACACAGGCGGCCAATTACTTACTGGGATCTTTCTGTAGTTCTGGAAGGTTTATCAGGGGCTTTGGAGCCTTTGGAGTCAGCTTCAGAGAAGTTTCTGACCATCTAAATGGCTCTGTTATTGATATTAAGCTATCACTATTTTATAACAATGGTTGAAGACCCACACATGCAACTTTCATCCCTCTCTCTCTCTCTCGATAATTAATTAAAATAAATGCTATAATTATGTGGCCTATGGGTTGTAAGGAAGCAGCACTGGATACAAAAAAATATATTTTTTGGCCTTTACTCTGACGGCTGTCTCTCAGAAGGACAACGATCGATGGGAGTAAGTACTGATGGAAACAATGAATAAAATAGAGTAATTCTTATGTCTCTATTGTGATTATCTGACAAAAAACAAAAAACAAAGAAAAACACAGGAGATCCACCAGTGACTTAAAAAAAATCCAAGAAATTCAGTCCATGAATGTTCACAACCTTCAAGAACTTCAGGGTTCAAATATAGGTAAATTCAGTCTTTCTGAATGGCACTAGAATGAAATTAAATGGAGTATACCAAATAAAATGAAATACAGTACATTAGCCTACCATTAAACTCAACAGTTTTCATGAAAATACATTGAGTACAAAAAAACAATCTTTTAATACATTCTAATAATTTTATCGAGGTATGAAATGTTTTAAGAACACTCATAACTGTTTTTAACAGGCATATTCCAATGTAAACAGATTCACCTACAACCAGGGAAATACACTGGGCTTTAAATAAAGAAAATTAAACTTCATTAACATTCATTGTACATACCCAGTCCTTGCATGTGTCCAAAACGTGATCAAACCCGATCCACCTCATACATGCAATTCAAAAAACGTCCTTAAAGATGATCAAACGAAACATTCCTTATTAACATACTACGCTCATGTACACATTTTAAGCAATTTGTTCACAACTTCTATAAGAATGTACATTTATCTTGCCAAATAGCCCCAAAAGCCAGAGCACTACTTTGCATTCGTGGCTCTCCTCACACTGAAATCCGCGCACATGTGTTACATGCGGGAGCGCCGCAAAGCAAGTGTCGCCACACTGTTTCTTAAAGGACCAACAACCAATTTATGCTTAGCATTGGGTTTGTAAATTTTTTCCACCCTGCTAAATGTCATTGTCCTCAATGACCTAATACATATTTTTCACTTCTTTAATGGCTTCCCTAAAGAACACACTCCCCAGGCTTGTTAACACCTGTGAAAAGATTTCAGGACTGAGTGAGACTGCATTACATGCTGATCTCGGCTCATTAAAAGGGTTTGAGTGCACACCCGCACAGGCTTCTTCAGCATGGGTTCTTCCACTCTGAGAGCAGCACTGGTGTCAGGCATAACTTGCTTGGGTTCAAAATATCACGGTTCAGTATCCTCTAAAATAAATTTGGGCTGATCTACAAGCACTTCACCTTCTGCCGAAGAGCTTTCAATCTGCTTTGTCTCTTGCAGACTAGGGTAAGTGACTTCTTCTAGCACAATAAAATCAGGATCAGACTGCACTTCAACATGCTTGGACTCTGCTTCTCTCTCTTGTTGTGGTTTAGGAGGATGGTTCTCAGTGGATTCTGGCTTAGGAGCAGAAATGACACAGGGTCGCAAGTCAGCTCTATAAAGTCTCTTGATAGGACCACCCTCAAGGGGCTCAACGGTATATGTAGTACCTTGGACATCTAGAACCTTGTATACAGTAGGACCCCATGAATCCTGTCTCTTGTTCCTACCCATAGGTCGGTGACATAGATACACTTGTTGACCAACATTGATAATGGGACAATAGATCTTGTCATTCAAAGGGGCCAACCTCTCAGCAGCCTTGTGTTTGGCATATTTTCTTGCCTGTCCGTGAGCCTCTCTAAATCTCGCCTGATGAATCACTAACCAGTCTTGCTTTCTGTCTACAGGTTGCTCGTGCCCTGGCAGGGCATCAACTGGAAGGTGTGGATGAACTCCAAACAGTAAGTAGTATGGTGAGTATCCAGTGGTCGCATGTGGCGTGACATTATAGGCATAAACCAACTCCGCTAGATGTTCTGGCCACCTCCTCTTCTTTTCAGGGGAAAGTGTGTGCAGTAGATTGTGGAGCGTTTAATTAAAGCACTCCCACTGAGCGTTACCCTGAGGCCGGTAGGGTGTAGTGTTTTTTTTTTTCATACCATACATTTTACAAAGCTTAGCGATAACTTCGCTCTCAAAATTTCTTCCTTGATCAGAATGCAATCTTTCAGGTACACCGTATTTCATGAACCATTCCCTCAACAAGATTTTTGCAGTAGTGTCAGCTCTCTGATCCCTGGTTGGAAATGCCTGTGTGAATTTTGTAAAAACATCTGTTACCAAGGGTCTGAAAGAACCGATGGTAGGATCGTTCTTCTGGAAATCTGCCAGTTGTGCGGTTGTGTAGCCTGGCAGAGTATGTGTGCTTCTCTGATTGTCATTGTCTACCTCTCCACCACATTCCAAGGCACAAATCTTTGTGACTCTGTAACACCTTTCACTAGCAATTACTAATTCAGGCTCCAGGACTGTCCCTTTACTGATTATGTCACAGATGGCAACACAGTCATCATACTCGTCCGGAATGGTAGGCTCCCCTGCTAGAGGCTGCCTAGAGAGAGCATCAGCAGCTGTATTAAGTCAAACACAGATAATTGAGCATCCCACCTTTGCTCAACTGCGCCGAGTTTGGCTGTTTTAAGAAGGCACAAAGGGTTGTTATCTGTGATAACCACGAACTTAGAACCTAGAAGATAACCACAAAACATTTCTGAGACCGGCCATTTGAGGGCCAGCAGCTCAAGTTTCATGCTGCTATAGTAACGGTCATTCCTTTCTGCTTTTCGAAGCCTCCAACTTGCAAATGCAATGACCCTCTTACAACCACCCTGCTGCTGATACGGTGTTGCCCCTAAGCCTTCATGGCTTGCATCAGTCTCCAAGATAAACGGGAGACTAAAATCTGCATACCCTAATACAGGAGCAGAGGTAAGCTTCTCTTTCAGTAGCTCAAATGCTGATTGGCACTCAGATGACCACAAAGCACAGAAATCCTTCTTACATTGGCCGAACTGGGTAATACACAGATTCACTAAATCATGAAGGGGCCCAGCAATTCTAGAAAAACCCTCTATGAACTTTCTGTAATAGCTACAGAACCCTAAGTACGAGCGCAGTTCCTTTACTGTTTTGGGGACCCTCAATTTTCCCTGGATACATAGCAATTCCTTGAGCTGAGACTTGATGACCTAAGAAGATTACTTCTTGCTGCAGAAAGTGGCACTTCTCAGGCTTAACCTTGAGACCCGTTTCCTTTAGCCTCTTAAAGACCATTTCCAACCTCTGCAAGTGCTCTGGGAAAGTGGGTGCGTACACCAGTATGTCATCCAGATGCACTAGCATGATTTGAAAAATTAGATCACCCATTGTAGTCTGCATAAGATGTTGAAATGTTGATGGCCCATTACAAACCCCAAAAGGCATACGGCAGTACTCAAATATCCCAAATGGAGTTGTAGAGGCCGTTTTATGTCTGTCATGCTCGTGAACGGCAACCTGATGATATCCACTCGCCAGGTCAATTAAAGAGAAGAATGTTCCTCCCTGAAGCGCGTCAAAACTCTCATCGATCATAGGTAAAGGGAATGCGTCTCATTGTGTCTTGGAGTTTAGCTGTCTATAATCAACGCATAGCCTAAGGCTACCATCTGTTTTCCTCACTAGTACAATAGGTGAAGCATAAGTACTGGTGCTTACTTGGATCACTCCTTTCTTGAGAAGCTTACTGATATGTTCCCTAACATCCTTGTACTGAGTGGGTGGGATACGCCTGTAAGGCTCGGTCACTGGGACATTACCAGTTACATTGATCTCATGTTGTACTTTATCAGTGAAACCAAGGTCTTCATCCTCGAGAGCGAACACATCAGAAAACTGCATTAACAAATCACTCGGCTCTGCCTGCTGAAGGGCACAACCGATATGGAGCTTGATGAGGAACTCTTTCGAGCTGTTCTCCAATACCTGATCGCTTTTGGTGTTAACAGTGATTTCCCCCATATCAGCTGAAATACGCTGGAACTTAACCTCACATGTCTCATTTAATTTCAAACTCTCAACATAAGTTACAGTCCCAAGCCTGGTGAGGGCCCGCAACCAAATGTCCTCTGGGGAAAGATTCACCACCTGCACAGGAAACAATGGTTTCCCTGCGGCCACCACACAGGGAACAACAATCAATCCACCTGGTAATGGTACATTCAGAGGCTCAAGCAGGTAGTCAAATGACCCATCACGTGACATATGTTTTGTGCTTTTAGCCATCACCGTCTTTCAACTCAAGGTAACTGAGATAAGGTATGTCGAAACCATTGGCAGCAGTTATCTTCAGCCAGCTTACTGTTGAGAGCATATCTTTATCCTCACCAATCAGGTGTTCCCTGAAGAAACTCTCAGAAATAGTGCTGACTTGGCTTCCTGTATCCAGCAGACAAGCGGCACTCACACCATGTATTTTGAGATTAGCCACGGGACATTTTCCCACAACACGCTCAACTAGTCTATCACGATTAGTATCTACACTAGTTGAGCCAATGGACTGCCCTCGCATTACCTGGCTCACAGCAACCGAGCGTGGGTGTTACCCTGGGGTCTAGAGCTAGTAGTGTGCTTTTAGCCATCACCGTCACAACTGAAGAAGCAGGTATGTGTACCATGTCTTTTCCAGCTAAATGAACTGCTCTCCTCTTCTCTTGGCTACTGGCATGGTGCAGTTGTTTAAATGCCTCCAATTAGACTGAAATTTCCCACCAAGGGTGGTGTCAAACTCTGCATGTACCAATAGTTTGCATCTGCTGATAATATTCATGCCAATTACAGCTGGTACAAGAGGGGAGTTCAGTGTGTCTCTGACTACGAGGAAACCGCATTCAGGAAGGACAATACCCATGGTTTCAACTTTCAACTCAAGGTAACCGAGATATGGTATGTCGAAACCATTGGCAGCAGTTATCTTCAGCCAGCCTGCTGTTGAGAGCATATCTTTATCCTCACCAATCAGGTGTTTCCTGAAGGAACTCTCAGAAATAGTGCTGACTTGGCTTCCTGTATCCAGCAGACAAGCGGCACACACACCATTTATTTTGAGATTAGCCACGGGACATTTTCCCACAGCACGCTCAAGTAGTCTATCACAACTAGTATCTACACTAGTTGAGCCAATGGACTGCCCTCACATTGCCTGGCTCACAGCAACCGAGGGTGGGTTTTTCCCTGGCGTCCAGAGCTAGTAGCTTGCTCTGTAATAGCCTGTATTTAATGGAAACAAATTGGCTGCCCATCATCTGTAAACCTTGGCTGCACCTTGCGTTTGCTTTGGGTTGATGCACTGTGTGGTGAGTTTCTCCACAGCTTGGGTTAGCTTTCCTATAGCCCTTCCTTGTTCTGCTACAATTTTCAAAACTTCTTCAAGACTAACTGTTTATCAGTACATAAATATAAGACCTGGCTGGCTCTCTGCTCAAGTTAGCAATTGATGCCATAGTCTCCTCATGCTTTCTGTTAAGTTCTTTGTTTGTGCATGTCATGCCTATTACTACCTGCACCATGTTCATCCCCATACTCATCACCCTGTAAAACTGAAGCCTCATTTTGAAGTATACAATTTTGAAGTATACAATTTTCTTCAGTTTAACAAAATGAAAACAGTTGCTTTAGTCAAAAATAGTCTTTTAATCAGTTCGAAATTGTTTGGAAGTCAAAGGATATGTTCTCAACTGCTCATATACTTCTGTCTTACATTTTAAACAGTCTCTTGATAGGTGTCTCCTCGGAAATCACGCTGCAAACCTCTGTGGATAAGGCACTCTTCTTCCCTTCACCTAGCAGTATCGTCACCTCACCAGGTCACCTCCAGCCGGCCGACATCTGTTCACTGGATAACTGCACCCAGGAAGTTAGCCTCCACTCCGTTTTCCACCGGCACCTATCTTCACCTCTACCGTATTTCAAAATGAATAAAAAAATGACCTATAGGCTCCCAACAGTCAGATACCCCACTCCTGGTTCCAAAATGTGGCCTATGGGTTGTAAGGAAGCAGCACAGGATACAAAAAATATATTTTAGGGGCTTTATTCTGACGGCTGTCTCTCAGAAGGACATCGACGAGTAAGCACTGATGGAAAAATTTATAAAATAGAGTAAACCTTATGTCTCTATTATGATTATCTGACAAAAACAAAGAAAAAAAACAGGAGATCAACCAGTGACTTTTGGAAAAAAAATTCCAAGAAATTCAGTCCAGGAATATTCCCAACCTTCAATAAGTTCAGGGTTCAAATATAGGAAAATTCAGTCTTTCTGAATGGCACTAGAATGAAATTAAACGGAGTATACCGTGGATACGGTAGAGGCTAATATTTGAGTAAAATGAAAACAATACATTAGCCTACCATTAAACTCCACAGTTTTCATGAAAATACATCTTTTAATACATTCTAATAATTTTATCAAGGTATGAAATGTTTTAAGAACACACATTTAACAGGCATATTCCAATGTATACAGATTCACCTACAACCAGGCAAATACACTGGGCTTTAAATAAAGAAAATTAAACTTCATTAACATTCATTGTACATACCCAGTCCTTGCACGTGTCCAAAACGTGATCAAACCCGATCCACCTCACACATGCAATCCAAAAAACATCCTTAAAGATGATTAACGAAACATTCCTTATTAACATACTATGCTCATGTACACATTTTATGCAATTTGTTCACAACTTCTATAAGAATGTACATTTACCTTGCTAAATAGCCCAAAAACCCAGAGCACTAGTTTGCATTCGTTGCTCTCCTCACACAATCAGCGCACATGTGTTACATGCGGGAGCGCCGCAAAGCAAGTGTCGCAACACCATTTCTTAAAGGACCCACTACCAATTTATGCTTAGCGTTGGGTTTGTTAATTTTTTTCACTTGGCTACAATTAATTTATTCAAATAGATGTAATCTTATCTCAATGCTTCATCTTTGTGTCTGATTTAAAGTGGATAGAATTCTAAGTCTTACGTGCTGTATCTGAAGAAAATAACTAACTCCTTTAACCTTCTGGTCAAATATTGAGCAACAAACATCATTAACAGCTTTGTTAACTTTTATTAGTTTGTTAACAACTTGTCAATACTGGCAAATGACCATGGTATAAGTGGGGAAATCCTAGCTGTGCATTGCTCTGCTGCGTGTCGGGTGGTTCTTTGCACAGCTAGCCGTTGATTATCCATTACATGTCATGATGGTAAACCTTTAAATGTGCTGATCTTTATCTGTTCTGTCCTGTTCTGTTTTTTGCTGTCCCTACAGTGCTTGTGGAGATGATCTGACCTGCACTCCCTCCTACTGTCAGATCCACATCAGGCAGCACAACAAAGAAGCAGCTCTGCAGACACACTCACTGCTGGAGGATTCTCACCAACCAACAGATGATGTCCTGCACAGAGTAATAGACACTCACAAAACCTGCATGAAGAGCAAGTATGAGAGCTTATTTGAGGGAATCAAACTTCAAAATAATCAAACCCTGCTGAACAGGATCTACACACATCTCTACATCATAGAGGGAGAGAGTAAAGGGGTGAAAAAAGAACATGAGGTTGTACAGATGGAGAAAACACCAATAATACATCATTCACAACACACGCCAATCTACTGCAATGACATCTTTAAAGCCTTATCTGAACCTGGATGTGAGGAGAAATACCAAATCAAGGCTGTTCTTACTAAAGGCATCGCTGGAATTGGAAAAACTGTTTCTGTGCAGAAATTCATTCTGGATTGGGCCGAGGGAAAAGCCAATCAGGATGTAGATTTCATGTTTGTGCTTCCATTTCGAGAGCTAAACTTAATTAAAGATCATCAGTACAGTCTTCACAGACTTCTGCTGGACTTTTATCCTGAACTTCAAGATCTGGACTCTAAGATTTATGAAGAGTGTAAAGTTGTCTTCATCTTTGATGGTCTGGACGAAAGCAGAATTACACTGTTTTCACACAGACAGAAAGTTTCTGATGTTACTGAGATTTCATCAGTCAATGTGTTGATTACAAACCTCATAAAAGGATATCTTTTTCCTTCCTCTCACATCTGGATCACCTCAAGACCAGCAGCAGCCAAACAGATCCCCTCCCAATACATCAACCGTCTGACAGAAATCCAGGGATTCAATGAGTCTCAGAAGGAGGAATATTTCAAAAAGAGAATCAGTGATGAACATCAAGCCAGCAGAATCATCTCACATATTAAAAGAGCAAGAAGCCTCCAGATCATGTGTCACATCCCTGTCTTCTGCTGGATCTCAGGCACTGTGCTTCAAAACCACCTGAAACACAATGACGGTGCAGAAATCCCCAAAACTCTGACTGTAATGTACATACATTTCTTGCTCATTCAGACAAATATAAAGAATCAGAAGTATGAGGAGAAGGATCCAGAGAAGCTCCTAAAGTCAAATAGAGAAATGATTGTGAAACTTGCTGAACTGGCATTCAAACAGCTGATGAAGGCCAATGTGATGTTCTATGAGGAGGACCTGATTGAGAGTGGCATAGATGTCACTGATGCCTCAGTATATTCTGGTATTTGCACTGAGATCTTCAAGGAGGATTCTGTGATTCATCAGAGAAAAGTCTATAGCTTCGTACATCTGAGCTTTCAGGAGTTTCTTGCTGCTTTCTATGTGTTTCATGCATATATCGCTAAGAACATGCAAGCACTGAAACCTCTGTTTTTAATGGTTGAGTGGTTCAGGTTTAGGAATATCTCGCTTTGTGAGCTACTAGAATCAGTAGTTGACAAAACCCTGTTGAGTAAAACTGGACACCTGGATCTCTTTCTGCGGTTCCTACTGGGCGTCTCACTGGAGTCCAATCAGAGACTCCTACAGAGTCTTCTGACACATACAGAGAACAGTTCAGAGAGCATCAGGAACACCACTCAGTACATTAAATACACAATCAGAGCTGATGATGATTTCTCAGCTGACAGATCCATTAATCTGCTCCTCTGTCTGCTGGAAGTGAATGATCTGACTCTTTACAAAGAGATTCAGGACTTTGTGAAATCAGACAAACACTCAGAGGATAAACTCTCTCCTGCTCACTGCTCAGCAATAGCCTACATGCTCCAGATGTCAGAGGAGGTGCTGGATGAGCTTGACCTCAAGAAATACAACACAACAGATGATGGTAGGAGGAGACTGTTACCAGCTGTGAACAACTGTAGAAAAGCTTTGTGAGTATTAATTTACATGATTGCATAATTTACAGTAATATAAATACTTTACACTGCCTTTTTTTTACTTTAAAAGTAATTTGAATACAAATTCTGAGGCTGTATTAAAAACAGATACAATTATTTTAAATATCATAACGACTAAATAAATCATCAATTGCATACTCTTATGTCATTCCAATTGTCCAATTCCAATTCCATATGTTTTATTCTGTGGAACACTAAAGGAGGTAGTTTTATGAATATCTGGTTGGGTGAATTTAATACACTGATTCACTTTAACACTAAGTGAAAATAGCATATTTTCTTAATGCTTAATGCTATTTACACTAAGTGCATATAGCAATTCTATTTACACTATGTAAAAATAGCAGTATTTTCTGCTATGCATACTACTTATTGCAAATAGTGGCAAATATCTTCACCGCAGTACTGTACCACATTATAAAACAGTATACAGTAATAATGTATTGAGTGTAAATTATTATTTTTAAGATAATTATTCATTATTAAAACTAGGGATGCACGATATATCGGCCACCATATCGGTATCGGCCGATAAATGCTCATTTTTTCTGTTATCGGTATCGGCCCGATAAGAAAATTTGGCCGATATCTTTAAGCCGATAAATAATGCATTATTTCCTTCAGAGACACTTCAGACGTGCGCTGTTCGTTTGCAGCCTTTTGTGCAATTGTACGTTGTAATATTGTTTATTTGATGTATATATGATTTATCTCATATAGAATGCGTTTGGTTAAGTTAAAAGAGCACTTCAGTTTACCAGTGATAAACTCAAACAGCAGTGCACAACATTAATAACTATGATTGGGAATGTCGTGTATATAACATTCTAATGAGAAAATTATTATAATAAAACGTTGTGAATTCTTTGGGTTTAGTTGCCGTGTTTCAGCGGGTTGTTATGGGAAGAGTGCATCCACAACAGGATCACACATTCTGACTATAGCACGCAATAACCGTAATAATGCATCATTTTGTACATATATAAGTTGTAATATTATGTTTATGTTGTATTAATATTAATCTCAGGATGCATTTCCTTGAGTTAAATAAGCTGCCAGCAAAACGCTTCAGTTTATCGTGTTCATTCAGCTCTTCAGCTTCAGCACGCGCAGCTCAAACGGCTGCTATTTAAAACAGTGGTATTAATTTGTTACTTTTTCAAAATCATTGATACATTATTAATAATAACAACCACTTGTATTTTTCTATTATTATTTTCATCAGCAATATGGTTTAGTAATTAAAATAATTTAATTATTGTCTGTGCAGAGGCTATTCTGTTTTATTGGTTGCGCATTCATTTTGATTCTTTACACGTGTAATGATGTCCAGTGACTTGTTTGCATTATTTATGCATTATTTTATTTATTTGTAAGACTTTTTTATGATTAAATTTGGTAATGGGAGAGTAAAATTATTTTTAAAACGTACACCGTTCAAACTAGACTGCTTATGTTGAAGGGTTCGGGATGTGTCTTTTAATGATGAGACCTTTTTTGTAATCAGGCTCTCAAAAAGTATATAAAAATTTGGATATAGATTTATTGGCCAACATATCGGTTATCGGCTTTCAAAAATAAAGAATTATCGGTTATTGGTATCGGCCAAAATTTTCATTTCGGTGCATCCCTAATTAAAACATTGACTATTGATTGAGTTATTCATTCATATGCATAAAAGGAGGACAAATAAACATCTGGCTCAAGGGTGCACCAGTAGATGGACATGGTATTTCAAAACGGGACAGTCCAGTTTTGTCTTTTACATTTAGCTGAAATAGGGGTTTTCCTGACCTTTAAATGACCTTTGGTCAAACATATTCCAAAAGTATTATTTCACTTTTACCATAGGCATAATAAGGAGTGAATTTTAACAGGGAGTTCTAAGTCTTAAAAATTTAAAGTTTTCCTTTCTCTTTGGAGTGTTACAAGCTGTTCGTGCATAGATAAGATCCCTAAAGTTGCAAAGACTAAAGTCTGAAACCCAACGAGATATTCTTTATAAAAGTTAAGACTTGTCCACGCCCTCCTAAAACGCCTCGTTTAAACACGCCCCACATGTCTACGTCACTGTGTGGGAAGATTTGCATAACGCCGCCCAAATGTTCACGCAAAGAAAGAAGGCGTAACTTTTATTCTCGCTGTAGTTTTGCTGCCGCCGCCGCCATGTCATGGAGATGCTGTGTGTTTCGTTGTGAAAGTGAAAATACTTTGGTTGGTCTTCCAAAAATGGACATGACTAGAAATCAGTGGTTAAGTTGTATTTACATCACTGTTCCAGAACAGTTCAACCCAAATATTCAGATGTGTGCAACGCATTTTATGGAGGACTGTTTCCTGATCCTGGGAGAATAGCCTACAATGCGTCTGTGGCACAAAGGCTGTTTCCATAAAGTGGGGCAATTCCAACTTTGCAAGGACAGTCTGGCGCTTCTGACTCACAGCCTGTATGTATGTTTTCATATTTAAAGGGGTCATATGTCAATTTTCCTTTCTCTTTGGAGTGTTACAAGCTGTGCGTGCATAGATAAGATCCCTAAAGTTGCAAAGACTAAAGTCTCAAACCCAAAGAGATATTCTTTATAAAAGTTAAGACTTGTCCATGCCCGTGCCATTCTCAAGCCCGCTCCACTCACTCAAGCTCGCCATGTGTGATGCTGTGTCCTTCCAAAAGAGGACACAACTAGAAATCAGTGGTTAAGTTGTATTTACAACACTGTTCCAGAACAGTTCAACCCAAATATTCAGATGTGTGCAATGCATTTTATGGAGAACTGTTTCCTGAACCTGCAGAGTAGCCTACAATGCGCTTGTTTCTATAAAGTGGGGCAGTTCCAACTTTGCAAGGACAGTCTGGCGCTTCTGCCTTATAGCCTGTAAGTAAGTTTTTTTATTTTTAAAGAATTTGCCACTGACGATTCAAAGCGTGTTTTTAGCAGTGTAGAGTAGCGCTTGTTGTTTGTTGTTTCTCCGATCACAAATGCAGACCTGGTTTTATTGCAACAAATGCCTCGTTTGTAATGGGTTTTATTGGTTTTGTCTCGTCGCTCTGGCAACAGTATGGTACCTGTGTTACTGTGTATACTTTTCTGCATTTTAACCCTTTTTTAACAGTGACAGTATGATTTTTTGATTCATATTTTCACACTGAGGACAGATGAGGGGTTCATACAACTATTTCAAAAGCTGCAAACATTCTTAAATATAATGATCATATTCAGTATGAGCCATGTATGGCCGCATACAGATTTCCTAAAAGAATTTGCAGATTTCCTCTCAGACCTATTGGTTACTGTTGATAAAGCGCTAATTGTCGGAGATTTTAACATTCACGTTGATAATACAAATGATGCATTAGGACTTGCGTTTACTGACCTAATAAACTCTTTTGGAGTCAAGCAAAACGTCACCGGGCCCACTCATCGTTTTAATCATACGCTAGATTTAATTCTATCACATGGAATTGATCTTACTGATATAGATATCGTACCTCAAAGTGATGATGTTACTGACCCTTTCCTTGTATCGTGCATTACTGATATTAACTATATGGCTCCGCGTTATCGTCTGGGCAGAACTATTGTTCCAGCCACCAAAGACAGATTCACAAAAAACCTGCCTGATTTATCTCAATTTATCTCATAAATACACATGAACTAGACGAAATAACTAGCAACATGGGCACTATCTTCTCTAATACATTAAAAGCTGTTGCCCCCATCAAATTGAAAAAGGCTAGAGAAAAACGTACTGCGCCATGGTACAACAGTAATACCCACTCTCTCAAGAAAAAAACTCGTAGTCTTGAGCGCAAATGGAGAAAAACTAACTTGGAAGTTTTTAGAATTGCGTGGAAAAACAGTATGTCCAGCTATAGACAGGCTCTAAAAGCTGCCAGGGCCGAGCATATCCACAAACTCAAAAAAAATAACCAAAACAATCCTAGGTTTTTATTTAACACAGTGGCTAGATTAACAAATAACCAGACGCCACCCGATCTAAATATTCCCGCACAGTTTAATAGTAATGACTTTATGAATTTCTTCACTGATAAAATAGATAACATCAGAAATACAATAACAAATGTAGATTCTACAGCGTATAATACTTCAGCTTCATTCATCGCACCAAAAGATAAACTGCAGTGCTTTACAGCTATAGGACAGGAAGAGCTAAATAAACTTATAACTGCATCTAAACCAACA